CATCTGGTGTCTGCCTGGACTTCAGCAAAGTCTTTGACCCTCTCTCCCACAGCATCCTCCTGGAAAAGCTGGCAGCCCATGGCTTGGACAGAAGCACTCTTTGCTGGGTTAAGAACTGTCTGGATGGCCGGGCCCAGAGAGTGGTAGGGAATGGTGCTGCATCCAGCTGGCAGGCAGTCACCAGTGGTGTCCCTCAGGGATCAGTGCTGGGCCCAGTCCTGTTTCATTGATGATCTGGGTGAGGGGGTTGAGTCCACCATCAGCAAATTTGCAGGTGACACCAAGTTGTGGGGGAGTGTTGAAGGGTAGGAGTGCTCTGCAGGGGGACCTCGACAGGCTGGAGAGATGCACTGAATCCAGCAATGGATGGGGCCCTGGGTCCTGGACTTTGGCCACAACAACCCCTGCAGTGCTACAGGCTGGGGACAGAGTGGCTGGACAGTGCCCAGGCAAAAAGGGGGTGCTGGTTGACAGCTGACTGAACATGAGCCTGCAGTGTGCCCAGGTGGCCAAGAAGGCCAATGACACCTGGCCTGTATAAGGAGTAGTGTGGCCAGCAGGAGCAGGGAGGTCATTCTTCCCCCATACTTGGCACTGGTGAGGCTCCACCTTAAATACTGTGTCCACTTCTGAGCCCCCCGATTTAGGAAGGACGTTGAGATGCTGGAGTGTGTCCAGAAAGGGGCAACAAAGCTGATGAAGGGTAGCATAAGTCCTGTAAGGAATGTCTGAGAAACCTGGGGTTGTTTAGCCTGGAGAAGAGGGGGCTCAGGGGGAACCTCTACATTGCTCTCTACAACTCTCTGACAGGAGGCTGTAGCCAAGTGAGAGTCAGTTTCTTCTCCCAGGCAATAGGATAAGAGGACACAGTCCTAAGCTGCTCCAGGCGAGGTTTAGGTTGGACATTAGGAGGAATTTCTTCACAGAAAGGGTGATTGTGCATTGGAGTGGACTGCCCCTGGGAGGTGGTAGCGACAGTTGCTGGTGCTCGAGAGGTGTTTGAGAAAGGACTGGATGTGGCACTCAGTGCCATGGTCTGGTGTCAGGTCATAGGTTGGACTCATTTATCTCAAAGGCCTTTTCCATCCTAGTTGATTCTGTGATCTTTCCCTGCTGCCAGGCAGTAATGTTTGGACTCTTGAAAAGCTTTTACTTAATTTATGTATACACTCCATTTGGAAGACCATATCTAATGGGAAAAAATTCCAACAACCCGGCAATAGATTTGTTTTCCTTTGCCTTTAAATGAAATATCAATGGATGGATATTTTATTTTTAGCTGAATATGAAATTTCACAAGCGACCTGTCAAGCTCCTGTTTTCAAGAATGACTTTATTTCACACGTCAAGACAGGCTGGGAAATTAGTTTTTCTCACAGAGGACTCTGATTAGGGATTACAAAGTGAGTGTGGTGCAGAGTGATTTTTCCTCCATCTTTTCCCTCACCCCACCAACCGAGAGAGTACCTGACTCTGCTGACTAAGGGGAGCGATTCATTACCACGTGTGGGAGGGGGATGGGAAGAAAGATAGTCATATTAAGTAGACTTGCTGGCCCAGGAGAGAATAGGAGAAGCATAATAATACTTAGCCCTTATCATTCTTTTCATCAGTAGATATCAAAGCACTTGCAAAAGGAGGTTGATTTGATGGGAAAAGAGATAAATTCCAGTTGCAAGCAGGCTATTGCAGACACCATCAGGAATGCTCACTTTCATGACAGTATCTTCTGACTGTGGGTCTGCAGGGTAGAGAAATGAACAGGTCCTTTCCTCCGAAAAATGCAGAAGTACATTTCAAACATTATTGACTTACCCAGTGTAACTCTCATGGGGTTGGCAAAATATGAGGTCCAGTCCAAGAACCAGAGAGAGCAAGGAGATTATGTATTACTAGTAAATGACAGAGCAGACAGGACCTATTGCCTCTGTCAGCAGACAACAGCTGATTTATACCATGGTTTAACTCCTCGTGGAAGCAATAAATAGTCCAGATGAAGGGCTGCAGCATTTTTACCCTATGGAAAATCTGGCCCATTCTGGGGTATTTCTATTGTTATTCAGCGGATTAGTAGAAGTTACTGGAGTAAAAAGTAGTCTTGGTCTGGTGTATATGAACAGCAATATTTGGCTCCACTGTTAAAAGTCCTGCACTGGCTGATCTGATAGAGTTTACTGCCTGATTTCCTTTGGGCCACATGAAAGAGCTGCACATGAGGAACCACATACTGAAAGCATCAATCCCAAGGTCAGTCTTCATATTCGAAAGCATTGCAGCATCTCTGCTGGCTACACATCTTTAACTGCTTACATGCACATCTCATTGCAGAGCACTCTCAGAAAAAAACCTCTTACATTTCTCTTCTGTCTTTGTAGTGTGAGGTCTAGCTTGCATCTATTTGCCAATGGCCTTTCTGCCCCGTGTATATGATAGCAATGTTCAAAGAGGCCTAAAGTCCTGCTGCGACAGGCAACCCAGAAAAACATCTCTCAGGAGGCAAGATGAGATCCCATTGGGTCAAACAGCTGCTGTGCAGTCACTATGACTCACATCAGAAGGGAAGAATACTCCAGGGGCAAGCACTTCATGTGGAAGTTACCCATGTTTTCATGATGCCATGTACAATAATAGCTTGGTTCTCAACAGTGTGAGGCATCAGCAAATGCCTGAGGCAGTTCTCTGGCCCTACGACTTCCAGGGCAAATAGAGATTGAAAGAAAAGGAGAAGGAAGAAGACACCAACTTATTTACACTTCTCTGTCATGCTAACAAGAGCAGGTCACATCTTCAAAACTCCTTCTGCAGAGATGAATATACTCTCACCTTATTCCATTTTAAAATCCTCCATCCTGCATTGTGCCCATCATGATGCAGGCTCTGCTCTGCATAACACAACAGCAGCTCTGAACAGCCCAATCTGCTGTGGACCAGTGCCTCCCTCCAACACAGCTGCAAATAGGTTTAAATCATTAGATGCAAGTTACCAAACAGTCTCTTGGATCAGGGTTAATTAAATGAGTGTTGAAATCTAATTAAGAACTGGTCCAGGTGATAATTAGCAGGAAATGTATGCATTAAAATATTCATTTGTCGATGAGCTGCAATTAAGAGTGTGATTTGGGGAAGGATCAATATCTGCATCATGTGATCTAAAGAAAAATTAAAAGTCACCCAGCCTTCAACAGAAATGCAGGGGAATTTTGGCTACAGGGTTTTTTCTTTCCTCTCCTCCACTCCCCCTTCTGTTCTGGTTTTATAATAACTGCTGAAGATTGCTCTCCATCTTTGAATGGAGCATTCATCTTTGCATCCTTTTTTTTTTCCTGAAGCACTTCTTTCAAAACCTTGCTCTTCACCACATTGTGTGAGTGGGTTATAGATTTATTAGAGAGAGACTAACAGGTCAAAAAGAAAGATTCTTTGCCAATGAAAATCACTTTCTCCCAGAACAGATTGCTAATCCAAGGGAGCATCACTCATTGTGTGGTGTTAGATTGTTGGGGTCTTTTTTTAGCAGGTTAATTCCTCAAGTCTTTATTCATAACTGAGGATCTGAAGAGGCTATTGAATATGTATAGCTTAGATTTATATATATGTGCATCTATAGCTGTGGTTTACTACACTCTTCCCAATTTGTAACAGAGCAATTCTGCTTTCACTGAGACTGTTTTTTCTGGTTACAGGTACATAGGGGTGTGTGTAACCCAGTTAATAATATTTTTCTTGTGTAATCCTAGAAAATTCCTCCTCTGGTAGGAAAACAAGGGTCCTGCAACAGTTCAGCTTCTCTGGCATGGAGCTGGTCTTCCTCTACTGCCACAGCCAGAAACTGAGCTGGTCATTTCCCCACTGACTGTACTTCCACCAGTGAATACAAGTTGGTCAAAACAGAAGCTACAGAAGCACAATTGTTTCAGCTGCTCTTCGGCAGTGTCCTGACAGCTCACTGCCCATCTCCCTGGGCTGGGTGGCAGCTCAGCTCCCAGGGCAGTGCCCACTGCAGTCAGGGCTGCAGCCAGATTGTCCCTCCCCTACATCTCCTCTGTGCCTTGGGAGGCTGCCCTGAGGGGAAATAACCAACCCGTGAAATTAGGACTTCTTTGAAGACAGACCAAAAAATACCTTCCTAGGTAGATCTATTTCTTCTCATCTCTGCCTCCTATCTGAAATTTAAGAATTGCAGCTACTGACCTTTCATCTGGTTTTGGGAAGGAGAGGGATTTCATTAATTCCCAAAAGCACTACAGATTTCTGCAGGCAGCTCTGATGATCATCCGTCGTTCTGCAGTAGTGTTGACTGCAGACATAATCCTAATATTGTAAATCTTTCCTGGAAATGTGTGGGCTCTTTCTTGGTAGCCTCTATTTCCTACTGTTTATGGAGAGGAAGCTCAGGTTTATCCAGTACTATTTTTGCTCCCTTAATTTAGCAGTGCTGAAGAGATGCTGTTTCATGATGATACATACATCCTACCCAGCATACTGACTCCTGTCTCCAAGGCTGGGCAGGGATTTCTCACTGGACTTGGGGGTTACAAGACACAGCATTGTGAAACAGTGATCCACTTCAGGGGTCTGGAATGCAGAGACATCACACATTCCACCAAAACAAATTGGTCCATAAATCCTACCACATTCAATGCAGCAAAGCCTCCTACATTTTGATGCACTTTTGCACTTCTGGTGTCCAGATCTTTCTGGGCCTGAAGGTTGAAAGAATAAAGCAACAACTTTTGCAGAGAAAATGTAAATTATATCCTAGAAGCTTGAATTTTGGAAGAACCTAGAAGCTAGGCTGCTTGTATTATCTCTCCAGGGTCCTTTACTTCCTGATGCTCTCACTCTCTTGCAAGGGTCAGAATTCACAGCCTGATAGGCTGCATGGAAAACATCAGCACCTGGATCCCATTCTACTAAATCTGTGTTAGATGTATGGGTTGATGATCTGGTGTGCATCAGGCTTATTCCCCGTGTGTCTCCTTTTGTCCCCTGTGCTGCAGGGAGCCTCTTCAAGCCTGGTGGTGAAGTTTGCGGACACGGACAAGGAGCGTACAATGCGGCGCATGCAGCAAATGGCAGGACAAATGGGCATGTTCAACCCCATGGCCATCCAGTTTGGAGCCTATGGAGCCTATGCACAGGCAGTAAGTATAGACACCAGCTCTCTGTGTGTTCATGGGAGGGGGAGTATCACCTGGAAATGTGCAAAAACTCGTGGGAGTGGACAAAAAACTGGAGCAGAAGAGGAAGCGGTGGCTTATCCATTAAACTGGTTACATGGTGGGAGTAAAAATTAGCCATGCCATCCAGAGGAGACTCTGGGAATCTTCCAGGTGTCTCCAAGGTGCCATAGAGAGTCCTAGCAGTTACTTTTGGCTGTGTATGGACTCATGCAAAACACTTGCTATGGGGGCTAAGCCACTGTTGTCAAATAACAGCAAAACTATACTTTGAGGATTTGGATAAAATAAACCTGCTCAGGTTATCCCAGTTGTCTGCCCCATGTCACCACAACCCTGCTGCACCTTGCATTGCTGTGGGTACCTTTGGAATGACCACAGGATAAAACAGAAGCTGTTGAGAGAAATGCTTTTAGATTCTCAAAGCATGATAGATAATAATTAAATATACACACACATATTCCCACAAGCAGTCCTACTGCCCCAAACAATATGATTGAAGCACACTGGGAAAAAATCCTGTTGTGCTAACTTCAGTTTTCCTGTGGACATACCAAAACTGAGAAGATGTGACCGTACAGGGGGCTGGGCCCTTGATGATGTTCTGAAATAGATGCTTCTGGAATTACTTGTTTTCCTTATGCTAAAATTAACAAGGATCTGCAAGACAAGGTCAGGCTCAGGTAACTTGGATTCTCTGCCAGATATTTTTGAGGAAGATGGAGGTGATGCCTGCAGTGGACAGACATAATATTGCCCAGTGACTTTGGCTGCTTTCTCTGAAGCAGATTTTCAGGCAGTGACAGTGTATACAGATGCTTCATCTATTTGATGGCAAAATGTGGCTCTCTGTATGATTTGTGCATGGAAGGGAAGTGCTGTTGAACACGTTGTCCAGAGTAGCATCTTCCTGAATGGGAGACCCAAACCTTGCCTTAGATATGCAGGACCAGCTCAGGAATAACACTCTGGTGTGCCAATACTCCTTCCAGTACAATGACCACAAGGTTTTCCTTTCTGCCCTCTTTCTTCCTCATGTGTTGACACCAGGTATTTCCATCACACCACCATTTTCTCTTTCTAATTTGAAGGTCTTGACATTTCTGTTCTTCTATGATAGTCCTGTGCCTCTCTGAACACTTGGTGCAACCCATCCTACCCCTTGTGTGAGCCATGCAGAGTTGTGAGGATGTGCTGCTGTAGAGCTCCCCTGAAATTCCTCCTCTCCTTCCAGCTGCACCTCTTGGTGCACTTCTGGAGTTTTTATTCTCTCTCCTCTAAAAAATTCTACTATTATTTCCATTTTGCTATCTTCATATTTTATTCCTAGTCAAAGTCAGTCTCCTCTGTTTCTTCCTTTGTTGTCTTCTCCTTTCTTCACATTATAGAAGAGCTATTTCCTCCTCAGCCTGGCTGTGTTTAACACTTCCCCTGGCCAAGGAAGGCTGCAGGAAGAGGAAAACAGACAGTGAATCCCAAATGAGACTAGGTCAATGGCCAGAAGACTTGCAGAGGGATGTAGCACCTTTGCCCCCGTGTACCAGAGGAATTAACAAGAGGCAATCCACACACAGCTTGGGACAAACTGTCAGGCAGAAGTTGCTTCAGTATTACTCTATAGACATTGGTCAGTCAGATGGAGAGATGGTAAGGACACAACTGTCCTGACGGTATAATCTAAAAACTCTTCTTGCATTACTTTTATCTATCATTATCTAGAGTAACTCCTTTAATTTCCAGACAAGGTTTATACTGATATGAGAGGATGCAGTCTGCATTTTTACACCACAAAAGTTTCCACTGTTTCTAACCGATAATAAAGGTGCATTATGGAGGGAGGTGAGAAATCAGGGCAGAAGGAAGAGGAAAAACAATTTCTGGTCTTCTCCCATCCACTTGAAACAAATGGATATTTTTCATGTTGATTTCTGTGAAAGCAGAATTGGACCCGTACTCTTTTTTTTATTTTATTTTTCTGATAAAAATGCTAATAAAGGGGAAAGAATAAGTTTTAGATCTTGACCCATTGGATATGACAAGCTGGTGACATCAATTACCCTGGGGACTTCAGAGCTGTCTAAATGATGGGATCACATTTCTGTGTGGCGCCTTGTACACCCAGAGCGTGCTCAGACGCTGTCTCTCAATCAGCTTCCCTATCTGCTCCATCTCACAGTCTCACATGAAAGGGAGGGAAGGGAGAGTGAGGCTCTGTGACGTTGCCTCGGTCCCGATTAATCCAGCTCGGACTGCTGGCTCTCAGATATCAGGGTGATTGGCACCTTGCAAATGCCAGCAGGAGATGGAGGAATCGATAGGGGACAGGGAAAGGGAGACAGCAGTTTTATTCAGGCTGGAGTCGAAGAGCTGAGGCAAGTCAAGAGGAGGGAAGGTGAAATATCAGGAGCAGGACTGTCATGATGGTGATGCCACTGCCACCAGCAGCTCTTGTGACATTGGTTGAATTGTTTGACCCCCTGATCTTGTTCCCTCATGTACTAATAAACCTGATGATCAGATTATTTATTTTCTCTTCTCCCTCAGGGGCATGGCTCTCTCTTGTACTGTCTCTCCATGAGCTTTCTCAGAGTGGTATGGCAGTAACATAAGTGTAAGAATTGTCTCAGTGCTTAATAGTAAGGCCAGAACAAGCATGAGACATCAGGCTCTGTGATTTGTACTCGTAGCCTGTTCCCAGCTATCCCCCAGCAGTCCAAGCCTGACTGATGTCTCTATAGAAGAATTCCCAAGCAATCCCCTGACAGTGGTTTTTCAATAGTTTCTAATGGTCTGTCCCCATGGAGGTGGTTGTTCAGGACCCTGTTGCTGAAATGTCTTGATTAATTTCCCCTAGAGAAGCATCTTGCACATCACTGTGACTGGATTAGCTCCCAAGAAAGTCTCAATGCCCCAAGGTGGTCAGTGCAGCAGAAACCCATGGTGTGGCTATTTAAACCATGGGTTAGCCAACCCAGCAGCTGAGAACAGGCAGCATGGGTCTCAGTCCATTAAAGTTTGACAGATAAACTTTCATGCTGCCATCAGGACAGATTTGAGCCCCAGCTCCTCTCCAAGTTGCCTCCCTTCCAGCCCAGCAAATGCCACAGCTCTCCCTGCTGCTGCACATTGCCAAACCCCCCAGCCTCAACTTTAAAACTTTAACCTTGATAGCAGCCACGGTCTCATATCAGCCAAGCAACCAGTCCTGGGGCTCAGCAGCCATCTGGCCTCAGACACAGAGGCAAAAAAAACGAGGGAGCAAAGGGAGTTCTCCACTGTGTGTGGTTTTCCATCCCCTCCTCATGCATCACCTTTAAGCAGAGGAGACAAAGCTTGGCACCGACTCTGTGCTGTTTCAGTGACACAGAAAGTCACATCAGACCTACCTCACCTCTTTGGTATGCAGCTCAAGGCAAGTCAGATTTCATAGCTTCCTAAAGCTCCCAGAGCCCCTACTCTAATTTATTTCAGGGTGGGTTTTTTGATTGTTTTAGGTTTTTTCTCTTCAGCAATATCTTCCCATACTCATTTAACTTCCCCTTTTATGGAGCAATTATTTATTTTATTTCACAAGCGTACAGGACACCAGCTCTTTTCATTGTCAGTTTACTGTGGATCTACATCAGCTGGGTACTGACAGCTGTTTCTGCAGTCTAAGGCCAGGTTAAGGTATAGACCTGGACTCAGCCTGGAGAGAAAGAGAGTGATGCTACCTGGCACCACCTTTGATTTGTCTAGGCAGCAAGAGAGACACACTCTCCACTTCACAGAGCACAGCACACCTACTTAGGATGGCTAAACCCAAAATCACAAGCAGTGACAATCAAAACAGTCTGTGAATGGTGGTAGTATAATACTGGCACAAATAAGCTACAGTTCCTGCAGGTCTTTCTGTGAAGAGAAGGGGCAAGGAGTGTTTAGTGCCTGTCTCATGTCAGTGATGCCTCACCATGCAGAAAGGAAACGTGCACAGATCAAAAAAAGGGTGAGGAAGATGGGAAAATGCAGGAGAGCAAAGCAAGAACAAAGGAAGGAGCCTTGGAAAGTGACAGATACAGTATAAATTATTTAATTTTTAAATTATTTAAGATAAGATCAAAGTCATAAATCAAGTTTGCATAAAAAATGGGGTGGGACTGCTAGCCACAGACTTCTGGCCAAACTCCAGCCATGGGACTGATTGCATCCTGCAGCTGGGGACAGGCATAGAGCTGGTGTGTAAAAACAGACAGGCTGGGTCAGAGACAACACAGGCAATGCTAACATTTGTTCTCTGGCCTGGAACAAGTCCTTCCTCAGTAAATCCCAGCTCTCCTCACTCTGAAAAAGTGCAAATGGCTGCTGCTCCTGAACTGCAGACAATAACTGCAACAAAAATTAGGAATGTCCAGCACAGAAGAGCTCTCAGGCATCATCTTAGGTGGTCTCCTTGGGAAGTTAGGACAGTAGTGACTACCATGCTGACCATAAAACCCTGGGTGCCCTATTCTGTCTCCCTGTCCAGCTCCTATGGAGATGAAAGGATATTTCTGCTAAATGATCTGAGGTAGTACTGACAGGTAGATTTGCTTTTTTCCAATATTTCTTCAATTTGTACTGTGAAATTATTTTGGAGAGATACTTAAAAAAAAATAAAAATCAGCTAGCCCTATGAAATCAGAGAAAAATTACTGACTATATATTACCTTCTGGATATAATAGTTATTACATTTAAATTACCAAAATGGAACAGTATTTTTGGTAAATACTACCTGTTATGCAAATTATTTGCACTGATCCGTTCCAGAAAAGGAAGCTATTTTGAGGCCATAATACTTTCTAGCAGGGATAATACCATATTTTTGACCACCACCTCCCTGGTAATTTAGAAATAATGAACACTAAGATTTGGGCTCTACATCCAAGGTTTTTAAGTCTTTTGGTGGTTTTCCACAGTTCTCAGGAAGTTAGTAACTCAAGCTCTTGCCAGATTTTGGAAAGACACTAAGACACATTAATTCAGTTGTTGCATATTTGTTTAGGTTTTTTTTTATATCCTAATTATATTTAAATTTTATTTTCAAAGCAGAAATTCCTATTTCCAAGAAAATATGAAGGACAATTCTGATCTTTCTACCAATTATTTTCTGATTGTTTCAAGGCTTGGAAAATATTTTTAGTTTTAACTCCCAATGGCCAGTTATGTATAGCATACATGAATTTCACGATTACATGATTTTACCAAATATGAATTGTATTACTGCTTGATTGATTACTTTGCTTACCTATATCTATCACAGGGATACCATGAGGATTCATTAGCTAAGTCTTTGTACAGATCATTAGAGGTGCTTTTATTACTTTTATTATCATTATTGCTGAATGAAGAACATGAAAAGTCAAACAAAACATTGTGTGGTTCAGAGACAAAGACAGAAAATAGCACTGGAAAAAAGGCGAAGGTCATCACATTGTTCACAGTAAAACCGAAGGGCTATGATCACACTATTTCAGAAAGAGCTCATCGGAAGTAATTCCCCTTTCTCCTCTTCCCCTCCTTCAGTTTCACATACATTTCTTTTGGGGGATGGGGAAGGAAGTCTGTGCTTTTCCTATTTCTAGCAGGACTTTTTTCTCTGAGAAAGCTCCTTCATCCTCCAAGCAATTGTTCTTCCTGTAAGAAAAGGACAGTATTTCCTGCCCTTGAGCACCATTGCAACTTAAAGTAGGAAAAAGATGTGACAGACAAATTCTTACACGTGTTCTCTATTGATCAGCCAACAGTGCCACCCCTTCCCAGGCTTTGGATTGGCTTTTCCAGTGCCTCTACACCTGCTTCAAGCATTGGGATGGTGACTGCAGGCTCTTATCTCTTGGGGTGCTGTCCAAGGGCAGGAACCAGTCTGGTAGCATCTCCTGGTCTCCTCATAAGACAAATAATTGAGCAATAGAAAAGATAGCAGGAAGGAAGGAGTGAGTCTTTAAAATGGATGGGTAAAAGCTCTAAATGCTGAGGCAAAGGTCAGTAAGGAAGTAAGAGAAGCAAAAGGAAGTACGTCCTTTCAGCTAAGGGAGGGAAAAGCTCCTCTCTGTCCCCTTGGATCAGCCTGAGATAATAAGGCTGCTGCCTTCCTGATTAGTGCTCCATAGCCCCAGCCCAGGCAGGGAAAATCTGCATTTCAAATGGCATATTTTAAAGTACACAATACCCAGGGGCCCTGCTGCTATTGATTTGCCTCTGGTGGGGTCACTGCCTCACTTTCTACAGCTTTATTAACTGGGACCATACACTGGGTCTCTTTCAAAGTGAAAGGAGAGTGGATGGGACATTTGTCTTCAGGGGGAGCTGGGAAAGAAGTGGGATGACTTTCACTGGGAATGCCTTGGAGGTTTAAGAAGGAAGACTGGTGACCCTTACAGGACTTGTTCTCCTGCTGTAAATTTCCCCAGAGCCACTCTGGTGGGGGAAGGAGGGAGGTCTTATGCTGTCAGCTTGTTTCAAGGTGACAGAGTTCCTGTCCTCCCACCCTCGTGGTGCCACTGCACTCAGCCAAACTCTGACCATCAGCCATGGGCTGGTTAGGAGCCCCCTCTTCTTCCCTCTTAACTTTTGCCCCTGAGCACCTCCAAACAGAGTGGCATGGGCATGAATGGCCATGTGACCATTCTGTGACCTCAGAAGTTTGGCAGGAAGTTTGTCAAGGGTTGAAACATCCAGACATTCCTGGGCCTTGGTTGGGGCCCCCTCTCCAGTCAAGGAAACAAAGCCATTACCTGGGATACACAGCTGTGTTCAGGTGGGGAATGCTCTACTCCTTCCAGCTCCAGGCAATCCCACTTTTACCCTATGGACTAGATGTGAAGGCTGCAGAGAGGTCTGTGTGCTCTGAGTCATGATGTGAAGGGCTCATTTCAACATGCCAGGTCTCTAGGACATCTCAGAGAGTACATCCACAGAGCACTGGGCATAATAGATATTGGGTGACTGTTCTCTTCAGGACCACCTCTGTTTTGTAGCAGAAGAACCTAGTTTCCCATATCACAGGTTAGGACCTTATTTTTACCTCATCAAAGCATGAAAAGGGTAAGAAGGTGCTAGAGGCCATAAAACTATGTATTAAAAACCTACAAAGCTACAAATATATGAAAAATATATTTTAAAAACCAAAACAATCTTTAGGTATCACCCAGGTGAAAATACAAAATACTCAGAACAGAACATGAGATGTGAGTCACCTAGTGTTGGAGTAAATCCAGTGTTAAAGATGGATGGATTCCCCTTCCTCCTTCACTTTCTTGGCATACTTTCTAATATTGCCTGCTCAGAGTTTATTCCTCTGGAGAATAAACTCAAATTATGCCCAGAAATAAATGTACTCCTTAAAGGAGAATCAACATAGTGTATCATACAAAAGATTGTCGAATCACTCCATCAGTAATTGCAAAGAGCAAAGTATCACTAATTAAAATGTAAAAGTACCTTTTGCAGGGTAAAATAAAAAAGGGTAATTAACCATCAAAGGGAAAGCCACACTTTGCCACCAATCTGCATTAGGCTTCAAAAAATAATAATACTCAAATTCAGTACAACACATTTCACCTGTAGATCTGATAGTGTGTGGAGTCAAGTATTCTATGTTGCATTTTATTGCTGGAGAAATGAGGGCAAGTTCATATAATTTGTGCATAGTTGTTCAGCAGGTTGTTGTCAGAGCACCCCTCACTTTGGACTGTTTATGGATGGTGACAGGGAAAGATTCATCATTTGAATGAGTACAGTGATTTCAAGGGATTGTTTCGATATATATGTGTAAGAACAGCTAATTTAGCTGATACTTCAATATTAAAGCAGACAGAAGGGAACAGTCTGTTCCTTGCCATGACTTCTGAAGTCTATTTAATTCTGAGAAGCATGTCCCATGTGCTTAAAGAACAGCATCAGAGGGTGATTTCCTGATGGGAGAGAGAGTGAAATCAGAGAGAGCAGTGAAACAGATTTACTCCAATTTTGGAGACAGCAAAGACATGACTCACTTCTAAAATCACCACAGAAAAACACTTCTCTTTTCCACTATTATCATCAAGTCACAGATTACCAGAGGCTGGGGAATGTACAGGGTGAGGTTTCCCAAACTTTCTGCACGTCTTCTTTCCCCCACACCTTCTTTAAGCACCCAGCACTTGTCACTGCTGAGGATTGGGTAATCAGACATACCCATCCTGTCTGGCTCTTTGTACAGCACCAGGCAAGGAGACAAGAAGCAGCTTCCCCCAAACTGTCTTATCCTTCACACCAGGACCATTTTAAAATCTCTCTGCAGCCATGCTGTACACATGAGCTGCACCAGCTGTGTGCTTAGGTTCTGAGTGTAACATAATGATAACAAAGTCTTGTTTTAATGAAAGAAACGGTTCCAGGCTTCATAAACATTCACCAGCCTTCTGCTCCAAAGTTTTTAGCCCCAAATGCCTGAAAATGCAGCCTGGGATCCTTATTTCTGACTTGTGTAGGTGCCCTGAAAGAAGCAGCATTCTGACCACTTTGTAGAAAATAATTAATTGAGAAAGTCAACTCAGATCAAAACCACAGGAAAGGAGTTTTCTCATTAGACAGTATTAACCTTACTGAAACAGGGGAGCTCTCTTCTCTTGTACAGCACTTATGGGTTTCTCTGATAGTGTTGGAAATAGGTGTTATGATCTGGTTGGAAGTTTTGGTAGTGGTTTTGCTCAGTACCCAGCTGAAGCCTCCTAGCAGCATCAGAAAAAGTGATTTTTGTCACTGACAGATGGAAAAAAGTCAGGTTATCCCTACAGAACCAGTCGAAATTTCTGCTTTGGAGAATGAATCCCCTTTTCCTACATATTCTGGTCTCTCATCAGCAACCTCTAGGCTTTTCCAGTGTTTTGATACAAGCAATGTAAGCCACTCTGCTCAGGTATATCATGTTTTGTCTGTATAAAGACTTTTCTCCGCCTTTCTGGCCAGAGAAGTCCCAAGGAGCTGGTGGGCCGAGTCCAGGTCACAGGAGACCTCCACACTAGGGAACATGGTGGGGTGGGGACCATAAAGACCCCAGACTGCAGACACCCTTTGCTTCCAGCAGGGCAGCGAGAAGCATGACCAAGCCTGGGGGTACCAGAGGGGCGGTGTGCTGTCACCCCAAATCACCGGGATGCTCCCCACCCTCACCGGGTGCCCTCCCGGTGCCGGTGCCACTGCTGCCCTGGCGGTGACCGCGTGATATTTTTTCCCTGCTCTCTTTGTTCCAGCTGATGCAGCAGCAAGCGGCGATCATGGCCTCGGTGGCGCAGGGCGGATACCTGAACCCCATGGCAGCCTTTGCCGCGGCCCAGATGCAGCAGATGGCGGCTCTGAACATGAACGGCCTGGCAGCCGCCCCCATGACTCCAACCTCAGGTAAGGGCACAGCGGCCTGCGCAGGAAGGGAAATGGGGACACGTCCCACAGCAGCATTTGTTAGCGCTTCAGCCGGCTGAGGATCCGTCTCTCCTTCCCGTGAAAATGAATCGCTAAAAACCGGTATAATCACGGACAAAGACCCTCTAACTAAGCCTAATTAGCTCCTTTTGAACTCATCATCCTGCACACCTACTTCTGCAAAGTGATCCTGGTATGTGGAGAAATGCTGCTGTTGAAATCCAGTGAGCTGTGCTGGTGCAAATGAGGTCAGAATTGGGCGGGATGTGGCAGTGTTAGAAATTATTCCTCTTTCAGGAGCCATGTTTTAAAACTTACATTATAAATTGTGCTGCTGAAAAAACAAGAGGATTTGTCACTTTTTTTTTTTTTTTTGCATCAAGTCTAGGCTTGCACATTCAGACCAGTTATTTCTCCACAAAGAGCTCTCTTTCCAAGATCATACATCCCTCTGCAGGACCCTCTAACTAATTAAAGTTAGAAAGTGGTGTGTTTATTCACCAGCACGGGAGTCACCTCCGAAAGGCATGACTGCCCCGAACAAGGTTTTTGCCATCTATTTATTCCCCAAGATCTTACATACAATACATGTGCATAACCCCAGCACCTCCCATCCCCATCCCATATTAAAATGAGCCCATTAGTCCTTCACACGTGTGCAGTTCTTCTCTTGAATTGGGTCGGTGGTCTCGAATTGGGTCAGTGGTCTCAAAGGATGAAGTCAGGACAGTCTTCATCAGGTCTCTGTGACCCTCTGGCACAATCCAAGGCCCTGTGCTTCGTGATTAACGTTTCAGTTATTTTACGTTCTTCTATACATAAGTTCATAATAACAGACAATTATACCAATTAGCTAGCTTAGCATCTAGTAATTATTAACCTACCATTTGCCTATCTAACGTATATCTTGGTCATGGAAATTACTTCTACTCTTAGCAAAAATCTTAACTCTTTAAAATCATGATTCAAAAGGGCCAGAGGAAAGGGTCTCAGGTGGAACCAGGGGAGGTTTGGATTGGATATCAGAAAAAGTTTCTTCCCCAAAAGGGTTGTCAAACTTTGTAACAGTGAAGGAGTGTCCATCCCTGGAGTTATTTAAAAAGCACGTGGATGTGGAATTTAGAGACATGGCCTAGTGGCAGGCTTGGCCCTGCTGGGTTAATGGTTGGACTCGATGATCTTAGAGGTCTTTTACAACCTAAGTATTCTGTGCTTCTATGGCATTTCTCAGTCTAATCCATACACAACTTCTCTTTAGCTCTGAGAATCCTCCAAACATCACAAAACATCCCACAGTGACCTACACTGGTTTATTGGTGCACATATGTGTCCAAGGGGTCAGTGCTGGTGCTATCACGGCCAGGCTGTCCTAAAGACTAGCAAAATAGGGTTGTGGTGAGATGCAATATCATTAACAAGATGAATTTTGCCTTTGGGACACGTAAGCCTTTCCCCCTGTTGTGAAATAGGACAGAAGGTGCTCAAGGAAGACATCTGGTGCTACCTGGAATGAAGATGTTTAGTGAGGGGGTTTCTGGCTGCAGGAACAAAGACAGGTAGCCAGAGAAGGGCTGCCAGAATCTGGCTAGGCTGTAAAAAGCCCATTCTAGGAGCTGCAGTATATGGTTCAGCAGACAGAGAAATAAGCTGAGATGGGAACAGGACTGTCTTTCTTGGGGCTTGAAGAACAAAATTACCATTTGGGTAGGATCAGGTCAAGGAATCATCAGCTCTGGAGGTCCTGGACTGACATGGAACAGCAGGTAGGTAGGGAAGCAGGAAAAGTGAGGCCAAACCTTGAAAGAAGTGAGGATTTGGGAAGTTTAGCAATATACTAGAGTCTGGTAGGGAGGTAGAGGACTCTAAGGTACATCTTGAAAGGACCACTTGTAATAGAATATCATGAAGGACTGGGAAGAGAAGGGAAAGTAAAAAAGACAGATCTCATTCCACAAGACTTTATGGAGACCCAAGGAATAGCACTTGACTCAAAAATCTTATACTGCACATTTCAAAATATATGTTTACACAATGATAAATGTATAAACAAAAAGTCGATGGAGCTACTGCAAATCCAAATAAAAAAGTGGCTTAATTATATGTGCACCCTTTAAACCTGCTGCTGGCAAGATTATCATATTTGCATTAGCTAGATTTGTTTTGTGTTGGTGGGAGCAGAGAGAACATCAAACAAAGACTGCCTGGAATTCAAATATTGTCAGGGCCTGGAAAGCTGACAGTGGTGTGCAATGGACCCACCACAAAAGAGCACAAGCTCTTTTGAATATACATAAGTATATTCTTGAAAAGAGTGCATTCTGTATCATGGGCCTGAAAACACCTGTACAACAGGCAAATTCTGTGCCTACCAGGATCTCCAGCACATGAAAAATATCTCAGCTCTTTTTTGGTGTAATTGTTTCCTTGTCTGCAATGACCAGTGCCTTTCAGAGTCATAGGATATTGCAATTTAGGTTGTAAAGGACCTGTAAGATCATCAAGGCTAACCATTAACCCAGCACTGCCAAGCCCACCACTAAACCATATCTTTCAACACTGCATCAATGTGTGTTTAAAATACATCCAGGGATGGCAGCTCCACCATTTCCCCAGGCATCCTATTCCAGTGTTTGACAGGATAGGGGACTGTTAAACTCTCACTGACAGAATATAGGAGAGGAAACTCATGTTTTTTACATGCTTTCTGGATCACCCTTGACTGGTCATTATTGAAAATAAGATGCTGGTTTAGATGATCCCTTGATGTCTTTCACAGCAGCCGATTTTGCAGTCTCCTAATGACATATTTTCAATCACAGAGCCTATTCACTTTGGCATTATTGCAGATTTACCTTGAATGAGTGGCTTCCTTCATGAAAAACCTCTGTGGTGGGTTGTGGAAATGTCCACTGACAATTATTCCTTAGGAGAAATGTTTAGACTTTGAAATTACTCCTTGTATTACTACAACACTCACAAAGCATGTGATAAGATGCACAGAAAATGTTTCACATAATGTCTAAGCAAGCAAGCCTACAACACTAGCAGCGATTTCTGAGTAGCCAGGAGATATCTGAAGCCTAACATTAATTCTCCTGCTGGCTTTTGTTAGCATTCAGAAAGCCAAATGGAAAATGATCATTCTGCTTCATAGCAGGATTTCTAGTCATTGAAGTATATCTTTGTTCTGCCTTGGAAGGAAAATGAAATATTTCAAAGTTCTCTGGAAAAGAAAAAAAAAACAGGCACTAGAAAAAGTGTTTGGAACATTGAAAAAAAAAGTGGAAAGGAAGTGTTTTGATCTTCCTGAAGCAAAAGAAAAATTGTGCAAGGGAAAAGGTTCTGGTAACCCAGAAGTCCTAGAGGCTTTGGAGGTATTGGCTCAGCACAGTGCCTCTGTGCTGGTATCTTCAGGCCTCCTAATACAGTTGGTTTTCTCTGCATCCCACCTCTAGGAGAGTGGATTCCAGGGAATATGACCATAAGTTCATTAATTTCCGTTGGACCTAGGGGCTCAGAGTTTTGGATCCAGGCAAATCTGAGAGATGAGAGACAGTATCCATCTCACCTGGCTTTAACCATACAAAACTTAGACATCTCATTTGAACTGCAGTCAGTGGAGTGCAATAAGCACTCCCTATGGGTAATTCAGACCAAGAAAATTTTAATGCTGCTTGCTTGCTTTTAATAGTCTTCCATCAAGGGTCAGGTTTATCTCACACAATAGTCCATAATTGTGAGGCAATTAATTAATTGTGAGGAAATTAATTTCTGAGAGTTTGGTTCAGGTTTTACATTTCTTCCATCAGTACTACAATGTGGGTGAAAAGTGGGTCTGCTACTTTGTTACTTGCAGAGAGGGGCTAGAAATAAAATTTTATTTAGGCTTCCTTCCTTCTTCCTCTTCTCCTCTCTCCCTCCCTCTTTCTCTCTCTCCATGTTGTAAATCTGCACCTGAAGTGGCTACAGCAAGAGATCTCAAACGAGGGATGAAATCCACAACTGGCATACACCACCACCATTTGTTTTCCACTGTGGCATTATGCCAGTTTTTCTGCAGCTACAGATCTGACCTCTCCAGGGGGGTTCTTTATAAGAAGAAAATTGAAGAATTCCAATAAATATGCCTAAACTTCCTTAGACATGCACAAAATAGCAAGCACAAATCCCCTGCCGCAATTTTAGAAAAAAAAATTATTTACATTTTCTATGCAAATAAAGGAGAGATCCAGAAAAGCAACTGAAATTTTAAGTAGCCTTTGTGATTTGGAAGCTGATGGCATATGCTAAGAGCATTGCCTTTGGACTTCAGTTGCCACTGCTGGCTCCCTGTACCTCCACAGAGGACATTTTTAAAGGCCAACACCATTTAAATAAGAAAAGGGGAAGCAGCAGCTTGTCTGCTCAGGGTATAAGAAATGAGCTGAAGCACTGTCTTTTTTTTTTTTTTTTTTTTTGGGCTACTCAAATCTGAACATATTAAAATATATCATGCATCCATAGCAGCTTTCTTAAAGCACCAACACAGATTTAAGCAGTTGTTAAAGGGTGCTATTGGACTAACCCATCATGGAATGCTGCAATGGTAGAGAAAATATCTGCAATTGGTTTAAAAGAGGGGTTACTGCAAAAATGGTGCTTTCAATCAGTAGTATACCCTGACACAGAAATGTAGTGTTGAAGATAAGATAGTTTAACTTCCCATACACACCTAGCAAGAGAAAAATATTTTTTCAGGCTCATTGAAAACTCATTTTTGGTCCCTGAAATCATCCTGAACATGTTGCAAGAAGAACAGACTGTCCAGTCATTTTACACATACATAGGAGGAAGACAGTGAGGTAGCAGACGGATTTAATTCTCTCCCAAGAAATTTAAGAATTCTCTACCAGTGGGTGACAAGATCCCACTCAGAAAATAAAGACAAATTTGTTCTTCTGAAATAGCAGCATTACAATCACCCTCAGGATGCATCTGAGAAGAAGGAAAGAATAAGATTCCATGAAAGGAACAAATTTAGTCCAAAATTTTCCCCCATTCATTGGAAGATATCTGTTAAAACAGTATGAAGTCAAATTTGGGCCAAACAGTGACATTAAAAAATGTATCATTGGCTACCTTTAGGCTACAAATAAACTTGACAAGTCTTTAAGGATCCCTAGTGCTGGAAAAGTTCAGAATGAGTTTGCACATGAAAGGTGTATTCATGAGAGAGTGCAGAGAGAGCAGTCCTGGAAATCAGTATACCCACAGAGATCCAAAGAGAATCTGATAAGAACTGTTGTAGAAAGCTGCGGCTGAGAGTTTTTGGAGGTGTTTCAAGCTTTTCTTGAGGGCTTTCTGAACAGGGGAGACATTGCAAGCAGTCCATTTATTTGCTCAACAGCTTGGGAGCTTTTTCATTTCTCAGGTTTTTTTTTTATTTTTTTTGGCGGGTGGTGGTCACAGCTGTCGTGCCGGCAGTTTTCTCCGCGAAGTTGTTGTTTCCAGTACTCACCAGCTCTGCCCTTGTGTCCCCCTCATTTGCAGGTGGAAGCACGCCTCCTGGCATAACTGCACCAGCTGTGCCTAGCATCCCATCTCCAATTGGGGTGAATGGTTTCACTGGCCTCCCGCCGCAGGCTAATGGGCAGCCAGCCGCCGAAGCCGTGTTTGCTAATGGCATTCACCCTTACCCAGGTAAGCCAGACCAACCCTGTGCCCACAGCCTGTTGCCTCAGTCCTAGGGATACTGCCCACACCCACAGGCTTTGCCCAACAAAAGCCTGTGGCACAGGTTCAGAAGGGTTATAGCCCACACCACCAGGTGTTATAGCATTGGTGTATTGTGTCTTATGCAGCTACAGTGTTAAACGGTTCAATCTGGATGATAAACATCAAGGGCATGTTGGAGGTGGAAAAACTGTGTGCTGAATATTTGAGTGCTCATCTGCTGGATAGCATGTCTGGTGAAGACAGTCAGGACAACCAGCATGTTTTGCTTCAGCTGAAAATTGACCTGACTCCTGAGCAGTTCATGCTGGCAGATCCCCTCTCAGTACTCCCAAGGGTCTTGCTTCTGGTTAGCCTTGAAGGAGCTGTGCTAAGCCTGTTTGCACCCAGCACTGGTATCTCCTGCTGGAATTCCCCTGGAGCCAGATGGCTCTGGGAGGATGATCCAAAGGGTTCACATGTCCACTAACCCAAGCTTCCTGTGTGCGGGGAGCAGGTGTTAATCTCTGAAATGCTCGCTGCACACAAATCCTGCTGCCTTTCCAGGCCTGGAGAGTGAATTAATACAGGCTGTGAGTGGGCTCAGGGTCACCCTTTGGTGGCACACTGCAGGAGAACTGCTGCTGGGATTCACACTGTGCCTAGCTTGAAGATGCCAGCACTAAATAAGTGATTTTGCAAGCACTGGCAGTCAGAGATGAATGAGAGAGGTTAAAGGATACATACCTGTCCCTATACCTGTAATTGCAAATCTACATACAGTCTAAATCTGTAATTCTCAAGAACTCAGAAGTTTACCATTCCTTAATGTGCACTTACATTTTTTCAGCATCCTCAAGATTTGAGATAGTTCTCTCCTCCAATGCACTTCCTCTAGAAAGACATTTTTCACTATTCCCATACACCTGCTAATGGTAACAATCATAGCAATAAAAATCTAAGTAAATGTTACTAATTGATCCTAATCACCAGCTGGCAAAGGAGTATTTTACCCTGGGGAACTGATAGATTGATCTAGTCTGTTAGGAAATCAAATACTGAGTTCAATGCTCCAACCAGAAAGCCCCAAAAAACTCTAAGAAAAAAAAAAAACATTCAGTCTTAGCCAATCCTGAAAACTCAGAAGATTCATCATCATAGAGGACTTTATGAGCTACAAGGAAAAATACCATAGAATATAGAAATAATAGTCTTACCTAGGTATTGACAAATAATTATCCTCCTCCCAACAAACACTTTGCAAACATGGAGTTTGAGTTCAACTCTAAGAAGAATTAAAACCAAGGAACTTAATTGTACTCAAAATTAGGCATGTGTTGTAGCAGCTTTAAGACTGGGAAGATTTTGGAGTCATCAGAAGACTGCAGAGAGCCCTTAGTATGCTTAGTGAGCTCAACCACAACCACAACACTGAGAAAACATTCTGTCTTTAAGGTTATATAAACATGGCCATCTGTTCTTCTGTCCATTTATTTCAGTATCTACCTGTTTGCCAGTCAATCATTTCTCTGTTTATTCATCCATTTCTGTGTATGTCCGTCCTTTTTTTTTTCTGGCCAATTTCAATGATCCTTTACTGTAGGTATCAGAAAAAATATGTTCTTTCTCGGTAAATCTTAGTGCCTTGAGCTTTTGTTACTATCCCCAACTATACCCATAATTAAAGAATACCTCAGTTAGGTATTTCATCCATGGTTATATAAAAGTCAATGCCCTTAATCTGATTCTCTCTGAGTTTTGGAGAGACTTGCTCAGGCAGCAATTCGGAGAAAGTCCCTGCACAAACACCAACAGTCTGACACACTGAAAGGTAACAGTCATCCTGCTGCTCTTCACTGCAGGCAGGGAGACTCCCTTCTGCCAGCAAAGCTGACATCCAAACAGTCTGAGCTATGTAAAGTTTGGATTTATCTCAGGGTAACTTCAGCAATATATTTGTCTTTCTCACTGCTCAGCTTCCCGACAATGTGGTGACACCTTAAGTTATACCAGAGGTGGCAGGTCAGACACCCCCCTCTCATTATGTTTTTGTCTGTCCCTGAAATGCTGAAAGCAAGTCCACATAGCTTACATTAAGCATTTGCTCCATNAGTGGCAGGTCAGACACCCCCCTCTCATTATGTTTTTGTCTGTCCCTGAAATGCTGAAAGCAAGTCCACATAGCTTACATTAAGCATTTGCTCCATCTAATTGTGTTCCTTCTCATGAGCATTTATGCACTCTCCAAACCTCTCCTCCTTGCCACAGGCTTGATTCAGTCCTGGAGCTTAGCAGCATAAAAAATAAAAGGATTAGACATTTATATGGGTAATGAGAACATCCACAGCCATATTAGACTGGATAAAAATGTAGATAGGACACAAAACTTCGTGTTTTATGATATAAGCCAGCCACTAATTGCTTGGGGTTAGAAAGAAATTTTCATCACTGGGCAGCTTGTTCCATCATTATGGGATTTTTCTCACTCTCCTCTATTGCATCTCTTACTGCCCTGTGGTTCTGCATGGCTCTGTCTCTAAATGCAAGGGTAGAAATAAAATATTACAGCTGAGCAGGCAATTGCACTGACACTATAGAGAAGGGAAGATCATGACAGTCCCCATCCAAAGTCAGCATCCTCCAAACAACTTTGTTTTATGGTGTATCTCTCATTCTGAAAGTGGCTAAGACTGCTGTTGCATTATGTACATAATCATAGTCTTGCTATGATTATGACTTGCCATATATTGTTTAAATCTTGAATATTGCTTTCAGATACTCTTTCATACTCCACAAAAAAACCTCCAATGTGGGTTCACACCATTACAGCCTGTAGCAGAATGTTCTTTGTTGCCTGAAAGTAGCAAAACAGGACAATGAACATCTCTAGAGGCATGACACCCATATCATTCAGACCCTAATAAATTCCATTAATTGTGCAGTTTGTCTATTTGTTCACCTTTCTGACCAGCCATATTATTTTTGATGCTGCATCCAAAGGACTCCAGAACACCATAGTCTTTATTAAAACAAGTCCATATTACATAATTGTATTTAATCTGTAATTTAACTCTTTTTTCTTCTGTCTTCCCCTGTGTTCTTTTTTCAAAATTCCCTTTGACTGGAGAAGGGATGTACATGGTATCATTTCAGTCAGATTACCAAACCATCCGTGCCTTTGTGGCAAAGGCCACAATACTTTGAACATCCTTACTCGCCAGGACTTTGATCACAGGCCCTGTCCCTGCAGGAATTAGCTTTCTCTGTTAATCTGGTCAGGCTATGGATCCATGCAGTGGCACTAGAAAACCATTCCTTGCAGTCATAACCTTTGCAAGCCAGGGTCTCACCTTCTCCAAGATCAGACAGTACATAATGCCTCAGTGCACTTTTTGCCACAGAGTGAATAACAAGGCAATAAGTATTTCCCCTTCCACTAGTCTGAGCCCCTTTGGAGATTTGACCTTTTTGTGTATTAATTCCTGCCCTTTAATCTTTCAGTTTGCAGAGCTATTGAACATGGCAATGTGTCACAATATATAGTGGGGACAAAGAGCATAATCTGTTGTGCCATGATCTTGTGAGTCACTTTGCAGCAGCACAAGAGCATTTGCCATTTCCACATTAGTCACAGTAGCAGGGATTGCACTCTTCTGCCAAAGCTTCTTAGCCACCCAGAGCCTCTCTTGTAACCATGTGTGATGCACAGTAACAGTAGACACCATCTGCACTGGCTTCTGCAGTGTCCCACATCATCAGAATTCTGCTCTCTGCTAACAGGACCTGCCCTGCTGAATTGCATTGTGAGGGCCTAGACAAAATTCTCAGTCCAAAGATAAAGCCTCTTTGGTAAGAGAAGGGGACAGAGAGATGAGAAAATCATGAGACCAAATGGTGGCAAGCAAGAGAGAGAAGGGACTGTCTGTCAAAGTATCAGTGAAGTGTGAGAACTGAGAAGAAGGAACAAAGCAGAGCTCCCAGAAAAGTGAGGACTGCTCCATAATCTTCTGTCCAGTGATGTGTCCAGAGAAATGGAAATATACCACATAGCATCTTACACCCCCTTACTCCTCCTGGGCTAAAGGATGTCCAGCTTCACCAGAGACAGGGATGGCCCAGCAGTGGCAGCTTTGAGGAGCCTTAGATGGGGAATGGTTTCTTGGGTGCTGAGTTCTTCAGCTTCCTCACAAGGGAAAGCAAAGGGGCAGGCAGTGATCTCTTCTCTGGTGACCAATAACAGAACCTGAGGGAATAGCCTGAAGTTCTGTCAGAAGAGATTTAATTTGGATATCAGCAAAACTTTCTTCACCCAGAGGGTGGCTGGGCACTGGAACAGACTCCCTAGGAAAACAGGCATAGCACCAAGCCTGACAGGTTCAAGAAGCATTTGGACAATGCTCTCAAGCACATGGTGTAACCCTTGGAGCTCCCCTGTGCAGGATTTTCATGATCCTTATGGATCCCTTCTTAATCAGTGTATTCCATGATTCTGATTAAGTGCATTTGGTCTGGATTTAGGTTGCTGAGGAAAAAAGCTAAGTCCCCTCAGTTCTCTATAATCCATTAAAAGTGTGTCACCTAATTTACTATTTTCAGGTACACAGTGGTTCTGTTTATGACTGCTCACCACCTCCAGGACTGGCTCTATATTTCCACTCTGCAGACCCAGCACAAGTTTCTCCACCACTACTCCCCTTTAGCCCACTGTGGGTACCTCTGGGCTAGCAAGTCAGCAATCCCTACTTCATACCCTGCTCAGGGTCCAGCCCTCTCTGTTGAGGACTAGCTGTCAGTACAAATGGGCAGCCAAGCTTTTATGCCCACATTTTTCCACTGAGACAGGCAGTCAAGGTGTGCCTCACGGGGAATTCCTGTTCTGTAGCAATTCATGTCTTTGTAACTGAACCAAGACCATCAATTCATTTCCCTTGTCTCAACAAAGAGGGATCAGGCAGTCACCAATCTCACCCACTGCCAGCAGAGACAGC